CAGGAAACTTCCAGGCAGGGCTAGAGGGTATAAAAAGACCATCTGCCCATGTGCTCACTCTCTTTCCTCTCCTCTGCTGCTTCTTGCAAGACCATCTGTCTTCTGCAATAAACTGTAACCTTCTTCCCAAAGCAGTTGCCATGTTTGCTTATTTATTCCCGGCTTGGATGAACCAGGATGAAGACTTACTTCTAACAATGGGGAAATTGTTTCTTGGATCTTTTCCCAAGAATAGTGTGCAGTCATATTGAAAGTGAGAACTCCTGCCTTGGGCAGGGGCTTGGACTAGAAGACTTCCTAGGTCCCTTTCCAGCTCTAGGATCCTTTGATTCTGTTCAGTTCTGTTAACTGCCCTGATTCCTCCAAACAGTCAGACTCTGGATGAAAAGCTGTCAGAAGCTCTTGGAGGGAGGCGACTGCTTCCACATTTGATATTTAATATATTTAGAGTGAACAATTTGTTCAGACTACCCACTGAGTAACCACATTGAGTCGGGGTTTGAGCTGTGACCATCTGCTTCTGACCACAGCCTGCAGCCTCTCTTCTCAAAACTTGGAAAGGAAAAGGACAACATGCTTTGTATGCTCTTCTCCTTCCCCAAAGGGTGCCCAGAGTTGTATGGGGAGACCTGTTCCCCTTCTTGCTTGTGGAACATTGAGTGACTCTTGCATGGAGCTGGACATTTTCTCAAGCTCATTTTTGCATTCAAGCTCAGAGCCAAAGCCCACTTTCCCCACTATTGCTGCTGCCTGACCCACAGGAAAGATTGCACCCTGAATGGGTCCCCCAAAATGCCCCAAATGACACTTGAAGCAGCTCCATGTGTTTGGCACAACAACGCAGCTTCTGTGGCAATGAATATGCTTAGGCACACTTCAGAACTCCTTTCCTGGCAGTGGCACTGTCATGGTTCCGATAGATGAAACAGTTTAAAATAACTTCAAGGCAAGGGTTTCTTCCTTAAAGAACATTTTATTTAGGAACAAGATATCGGCACATACAAAGGTGAACCCAAAACTAAAATCCCCTCCTTCAGGCTACAAAGTTACAAGTTGCAATTCCCACCTCAAATTGCTGTCATAAATCACATTCACCAATTGTTTCAAAATGCAGGCTCTCCTCCTAGCACATTAGCCCGCCAAAATGTTATCAGTATTGACCTTGATTCTCACACACAGAAGTAAGTTGTTTTGGCTAACTGAAAACTACACCTTCCCTCCCTTTCTTCCTCTAGGTAAAATCTCTAAACTAATATGTGACAACGAAGATAAAAACGAAAATGGCTTCAGTTCTGTTTGTCACAGCGTTGACAGACACTTTGGAGGGGAGAGCAATGAACAACCCCCACCCCCTGTGGCCAGATGAGATGGGAGGAGTGATAATTTCCCTCAAATGGGGGGGTCTGCCTGTGCTGGCTCCTCATGGGGGCTTCCATAGTCCCAAGCAGGTTCCCCTCAGCAGAATGCTTCAAGCTGGCCTCTGCCATGCAGCTACCGATAAATGGCCTTTTGCAAACAAGCAAATGTTGCAAGGGGGTCTTTTCACGAGGCTTCCCTGGGCATCGTCAGCCATTCCTGCATGCTGCACTCAAGACAGGGTGACGCGTGTCCAGTTCACCTGGCAAAGGTCACAAGAAAATGTCCCCAGATGCAAAACGATCCCATTTTGGAGGAAGAGGAGGTTAGCTCTATCTTGAAGCACTCTTGGTTACAGAAGGGACACCAAAAAGACCCTGGAGATGCTGTGAGGGACCTGCAGGAGGGTGTGGGGCAAAACTATTGTGCTGGTGGGGAAGAGCATAAAGTGCAACATGCACAGGCAGCAGCAGATCCTTCATGGGCCATCCCAATACCTTTGGTTCTTGTTATCCTAGAGGTTGGCGCTCACCAACCGAGACGTCGTTCTCTACCAAGTGCTGGTCCAGCCCAGGCCATCCCTGGGCACTACTTGCTGTCCTGAGCCGCTTTTCTTTGTGCTGAGAGCTTGTACTTCTGGGCAACCCCATAAGGAACATGGGCGGCGACAGTGCCCATTTCCTTTGCTCCCTCCACATGAAACATCTGGTCATCAAAGAAGATATGAGGTCGGATCTTTTCCAGCAAGGGGCCTTTGGGTGCGCCGGCCAGGAAGAGGGCTTCGTCCGTTTCTAGTCCCCAGCTTCGGAGAGTCTTTAGGGCTCGGGCCCCGGAACTGGCAGCGCTTCGAGCCGTGACCAGATAGGTGCGGATGGGGCATTCCAGGCGAAGGCCTTTGGTGTAGAACTTCTTCTGAAGCTTCCCCAGCACTTCCAGGAAGCCCTTCAGTGGTCCCTGGACAGAGGAACACACAGCGTCAGCCCCAGCGTGCGGCCCACTCCCCAGGTGGTCAGGAAATGGGGACCAGCTGAAGCACAGCACCCTTGGGGAGGCCCCGGGGCCAGAGGCTTCCTGCCCTCTCCTTAGCCAGGCACATTTGCCCTCCTGTTCTTTGAATTTGCCAATCCCACTTTGGGTCTAATATAAATTGTTATCCTGAAATGGTGTTGCTATCTTGCTTCCTGCTTTAATACTGGCTTTGTTGGTATTCAGAATGTTTCTTCTCACTTTGTTCTAGCTAAAGTGTTCATTAGCAGGGCAGCCATAAAACCATCCTCTCTCTTGGCAAAAACAACAATGAAAAGGTCGATTTTGTCACAGTGCCACTGGTCCCCGAACCACACCTGAGCAAGAGGCTTGTTCTCATACGTCTTCTCGTGCTCGAAGAACTTGTCTAGGCCGTGAGCCTTCACGATCTGCTCCGACTCATCAGAAAACAGCACAGCATCTCCATCAAAGGCGACACGAAGCTGCTTCTCTGAGACTTGCACCTCTTTCTTGGGGGTGAAAATAGTGGCAGCTGCAATCCCTGGGAAGGAAGGAAGGAAGGAAGGAAGGAAGGAAGGAAGGAAGGAAGGAAGGAAGGAAGGAAGGAAGGAAGGAAAACCTCCTTCAATTCATGTTGGAACAAGAACTCAGTGAGGTCTATTTAATGCTAGTGTGGGGATAATTACAGAATTTGGGAAACAGTAAAAGGAACTTCCAAGTCTCATTTACAGTGCAAAATCTCTGAATGTTTTGAAATGCTGCTTATTACCTGGTTAAGTTGCCATTTGTAAGATTAGCTGTCAAGGACTCGCTTTCTGCATCCTCTCCTTCCATCCCTGTGAATCCTCCCCACTACCTCTCACATCTGGAAGGACGATTCCCTAAAAGTCTCTTCCCTGTTAAAGTGTCCCCCAGATATGTGAGCTTCCAACTCTTTGGGACTTAGTAGCTGATCAATGCCTTTGATCAGTCTTATGCCAATGAGCCAACAAGATCCTCACATTCTTCCAACCGGCAGAAATCCCAACCTGGAGGGACTCTTCTAAGCAACCCGATTCTGATAAAGCAAACAAACCTCAGTCATGGGTTACTTTGCCCCTACGTGGTAAGAGATTGTGACAGATGCTTCACTCTGTCTTCCACTGCTGTTTCTGCCAGGTCTAGGAAGGCCAACAAGCATACAATGTCTTGCGTGTGGGATTGGTAGGACCAGTAAATCTTTTTTTTTAAATTCTGATTCTTGGAGACTGCCTGGACAAATCCCTGCAGTTTTCTTGGCAAGGTTTTTCAGAAATTGGTTTGCCATTGCCTCCTTCCTAGAGCTGGGAGAAGATCACCCAGCTGCCTCTTGGCCAAAGCAGGACTAGAACTCACAGTCTCTTGGTTTCTGGCCTGGTGCCTTAAGTGCCACACCAAAATGACTCTTCATAAACCTTAACAAACACAACTAAATGGCTCACAAGACCGTATGAATAAAACTACAACAGTCATGACTCCTGGAGTAACAAGCAGTAAAGTTGGCCTTGCTTTGGATTTTAGAAAACATGCGTCCCCACAGGTACCCACAGACTGAAATATGTCATTTCCTCCCCCCCTTTTCAGTCCAAAAGGCCCCTCAAACCTCCACTACATTTCTGCCCAACAGCATCACTTACCCTCTTCTATGGCCTCACTCACTTTCTCGCAATCCGAGGATAAGTAGAGGTTGGTGTGATAGGCCTTCAAGTAGCAAATAGGGCTATTCCCGCCCGTCATACAAAACCTCTCAATGAAGAGATCTGGGAGAAAAAGAAGAGACGCTTCGTCGGTAAACAGGAACTAGCCATCCCCATCCAGGGGCCTTCTGGGTATCAGATTCCCTTGCCAGCACATCTGGAGGACACCACACTGGGCAGGAATGAGGATCCTGGAAGTACCTGAAGAGTTGCCAAAACCGGCTATGTTTAATGTACCGTAACAGCGGAAGCACTGAACCAGCAGACAGGGAAAGTTAAGCTGGGCAGAAATTTGGCAGTTCAGTTCAAAAAGAAGAATGCTGCGCAGTGGTACCTTGGTACTCAGCTGCTTTGAAATGCATCAACTTTGATACTCAATGAATTTTGATGTGAAATTTGTATCCCAATACTCATCTTTTTTTGGTATTTGGTATGCAAGCTAGAACCTGTTGGTGTTGGCTGCCTTGTGACTCACTACATTATTCCTTAGGGGAAAAAATTGTTGGTACACATAATTTTTGGTATTCATCACACCTCCCGGAACCAATTAACAATGAGTACCCGAGAATAAGCTCCCTAAGGAAGTGAAGAGGTAGAGCTTCCTCCTGGCTCAGTGGAGGTCCTGATGAGAGATTCAGGGTTCCCCGGGGCTGTACAGGTGGACAACCCTTCCAAGCACTGAGCCCACTGCCCCATTCGCTGGATGTGGGTGAGGGGATTAGCCGCTAGGCGGATGTTGGCGAGGGATCCTGCCTTCCGGTTACTTACTGTAATGATTGATGCTGTTGATCAAGCGAACACCCACTTGTGCGTGGTTGTTGGTCACAAGGACAATGTCAAAAAGTTCCTCGCTCTCTGGGAACAGTTCCCTCAGCTGGCTATTGACTGATTCCAGAGCCTGGGAATCCAATGAGAGAGAATGGTTGGACCAAGGAGGCAAGACATTAACTTAAGGGATCATCGGACAGGAAGGGCTCAAACTGTCTGTGGCTGCTTACTGGCGTTGGCCCAACTAGCAATCATCTCCAGCAAGGGAAATGGCCACGAGTGCTGACTTGTCCCCCACCCCTCGCTGTGGAGCAATATTTGCAGTGTTGACATGTGTGAATGTCAGCAAAAGAGACCAGACCTTGACAAAAGGGAAAGCCGCTCCGGGCAGGAAGGGCTCCTCCTCGTGCTCCAGCTGATACTTCACATAGGCCTCCACACCCTGCTCCGTGTAAATCTTCTGCTCTTCTTCCATGCGGAACAGGGCTCGGGAGGACACAGCAATGGTGATGGCGTGTTGCGGCTTTGGCTGCAAGAGAAGAGCGGTGGTTGCATCCCCCATAAGAGAGGGCAACGGTCCTTGAGGACTGGGCCAAAGGGAGTATCCCTTGGGGGACTGGGGATTCCTCGCCCTTGAAGGCGTGGGGCTCAGCCAGCCCAGCTTCCCTCAATGATTCATTTTCGTCATTAGCTTCATTTCAGTTTGTCCAGCTTCCATATTAGTTTGATTGTTTTGTGAGGTTCCTTACCTTACCTTGCACCACCAGCCAGAGGGAGAGAGCCACCCTTGCCAACTGTCCCCCCACCCTCCTCCTCGCTGCTGTGCTTGTTTTCATGCTGGGAGAAAGTGTGGATGTAGGCTTCACTGCTTGCCCCATGTGGCAGGGCCAGCAGAAGCCCACCCCAGCTTCTGAGCTCTGCCTGGCTTCTGGTCATCAAATGCTGGCTTCCGTTGGCAAACAGCTTCTTTCTCATGAATGGCTCTTCTGCCTGTTTCCTTTTGCTCCTCTTGGGCCCATCAGAGTCACTTAGCCATGAAACCTGCTTGCCAAGGAAAAAGCCAAGCATTTCTAGCTCAGACAAGTTTTCTCCTGCTTTTCCAAGCTTAGTTTAACCTAGCTAGGTTGGATCTGCTCTGTTCTCACTGTTTTCAGGCCTGCCTACATATCAGGGAGCTGTGAGCACTGGCTTGTCCACGAGTCTCTGAGCCTTGCAGAGAACAACCAGCCATTCGCTGGTTGCCATTTCTAGCCAATTGCTAACTGCAGAAAACCGACAACCACCAAGGCTCACTTGGTCGGCAACCTCTGCCCCCCCCCCCGCCTTCCCTCAAATAAAATAGAACAAATTCCCCGTATTGTTGTGCTTGGCCAATGAACAAATCCCTGTCACTGGCAGACTGGCAATACTTAGCTGCCTTCATCCAATCAGACATCTGGGTGTTTGTGTGTGTGTGTGTAGTGGCAATGGGGAGGATCATTGTTATTGAGAAGTTAGTGGCATATTTTGATTTCTCCTTCATATTAAGAAAAGTCTAGAGGTTACAGCTCCTTCTGAGCCAGCTTGCTTGTTTTCCACTGTTGCTTGCTGAAAAAAGGAGAAGGTGGGGAATCTTCACATAACTTCAAAGCTCCTCTTGCTGTGAAAGCCTCAGATTTTCTTCCCATCTGAGTCGTGCAATACCCAGTCAAGATCAATCTTGCAGCCTCCTGAGCTTAGCAGGGCCATGAAGTCACGGTGCCATGTTTTGATAAAATTCTTGGGGTTGTGTTGTTTGTAGGGAGCTTCTGCATGAAACCTAGCATTAGGTACTGCCTGTGGGGTATCTCTGCTGTCGTTATTAAGGAGTTCCTGGCAGCTTGTAAGAAATTTGGATATGGTCTTGCTTGGTATTCTTTTATGTTATGCATTTCTATCTATTTTTGAGCTAATAATAAAGCTTCAAATCCCTTTAGTTACTCGGTATTCATTGTTTCTGGATCCAAAAGAACCAATTGCCTGGACACAAGAAAATGTCCCCAGAGGCAAAATGATCCCATTTTGGAGGAAGAGGAGGTTAGCTCTATCTTGAAGCACTCTTGGTTACAGAAGGGACACCAAAAAGACCCTGGAGATGCTGTGAGGGACCTGCAGGAGGGTGTGGGGCAAAACTATTGTGCTGGTGGGGAAGAGCATAAAGTGCAACATGCACAGGCAGCAGCAGATCCTTCATGGACCATCCCAATACCTTTGGTTCTTGTTATCCTAGAGGTTGGCGCTCACCAACCGAGACGTCGTTCTCTACCAAGTGCTGGTCCAGCCCAGGCCATCCCTGGGCACTACTTGCTGTCCTGAGCCGCTTTTCTTTGTGCTGAGAGCTTGTACTTCTGGGCAACCCCATAAGGAACATGGGCGGCGACAGTGCCCATTTCCTTTGCTCCCTCCACATGAAACATCTGGTCATCAAAGAAGATATGAGGTCGGATCTTTTCCAGCAAGGGGCCTTTGGGTGCGCCGGCCAGGAAGAGGGCTTCGTCCGTTTCTAGTCCCCAGCTTCAGAGAGTCTTTAGGGCTCGGGCCCCGGAACTGGCAGCGCTTCGAGCCGTGACCAGATAGGTGTGGATGGGGCATTCCAGGCGAAGGCCTTTGGTGTAGAACTTCTTCTGAAGCTTCCCCAGCACTTCCAGGAAGCCCTTCAGTGGTCCCTGGACAGAGGAACACACAGCGTCAGCCCCAGCGTGCGGCCCACTCCCCAGGTGGTCAGGAAATGGGGACCAGCTGAGGCACAGCACCCTTGGGGAGGCCCCGGGGCCAGAGGCTTCCTGCCCTCTCCTTAGCCAGGCACATTTGCCCTCCTGTTCTTTGAATTTGCCAATCCCACTTTGGGTCTAATATAAATTGTTATCCTGAAATGGTGTTGCTATCTTGCTTCCTGCTTTAATACTGGCTTTGTTGGTATTCAGAATGTTTCTTCTCACTTTGTTCTAGCTAAAGTGTTCATTAGCAGGGCAGCCATAAAACCATCCTCTCTCTTGGCAAAAACAACAATGAAAAGGTCGATTTTGTCACAGTGCCACTGGTCCCCGAACCACACCTGAGCAAGAGGCTTGTTCTCATACGTCTTCTCGTGCTCGAAGAACGTGTCTAGGCCGTGAGCCTTCACGATCTGCTCCGACTCATCGGAAAACAGCACAGCATGTCCTTACCTTGCACCACCAGCCCGAAGGAAGGAGCCACCATTGCCAACTGTTCCCCCCTCTGAGATGGGCAGCATAGAAGTTTAATAATAAATGCATATAATTTGATAAGGGGAGCGGGACAGGCAGCGCCCTCCCAGTCGAAAGGCTCTCTGTCCCTTCCTCCCGGGCCCCCTTCAGCTTGCAGCAGCTTCTCACCCTCAACTGGATGGAAGGGCAGGCCCTGAAGGGAAGGCCATTGTTCCTGCCAACCTTCAGCAATTTCACACCAGGAAGCTGCCAGGTGGAAATGCCACAAATGGTTGCCATTTAGGGACTCAGCGAACTGCATGTCCAGCCTGCCTTGGGTGAGCTGTGCAAGTGCAGAAGTGCAGCTGATTAATTCAGGGAAGCTTGTTGTGGTAGTCATATGGCATTTCTCTGATCTGACGAGCCAAAGTCCCTCTAAGACTGGCAAAGGTGACCGCCCAGAGGAAAGGATTCCCAGCCCAAAACTCTCAGGAAGGTACACAATTGAGAGTCAAAGGCCGAGACCTCGTTTATGCCATGCACGGAGCCATAGGATGGCTTGTTTTGTTGAAGTTTATTTTGGCTTTACTGAACAGTAGTCTTACTCAGCTATCATAGGTTGGTAAAGAATGATTTCTAGTTTAGTGCACTGCATGAACCCAGCAACCCTAGGTTTAGTGGAATGTGTGAAACCAACCAGTGGCCTCACTCATACATTGCCCAAAATCATCTGGTTGGGTTTGACCTATTGGCTGTAAGCCACAAAATATCCTTCTTCAGGTCAAAGACAGGGTTTGCATGCCATGCAAACAATAAAACCTAGTTATTGTAGGGCTGGGGACCTTTAACCATAACAGTTGCCAAGATTGCTTGGGATTAAACAGTTCTCACGGATGAGAAATGTTGTGTGAACACCAATATTCAATAAATGATGAGACAGTTTCTGAACTCACTCACTGCTTGTTCTGGAAAAATAAAGCAGGATCCATCCCAGCCTCTTTGTTTTGACACCAGCTGCTGCTGCCAAGGCAGAATTTAGTGCACCTTCCAAATGCTGGCTGACTGCGGCACTTGAGGATTGTCTCCTGGACAAGTGATGGCAAGAAGCTTTGCCAGTCTGCCCAGGAGTGTCCACGGGGGCAAAAGAGCAGAAGGGAGAACCCCACCAAGACTCTGGCATGAGGGCAGGATGCATGAGAATGCTTGCTGGGCAGGTATGGGATAGGGATATGGGGAGGTCAGCCCTAAGTTTACTGGCAGAAATTGGAGATAACGGTTCCCACCAGACAGACAAGCCCCCCCTCCCCCAAGCCCTGCAGAGTTGTGTTTAAAGGGCTACAGAAGAAAGAGGGCAACTTCAGTTCTCAGGTGTGACTTCAAGGGTTCTCTGCCTTATTCCAGGCCTGCCTCCACTTTCAGTCACAATTTGTTGACTGTATCTGCATTCACATGACATGTTAAGTCACAAAGAGAGAGAATAACCCCTGGTCTCTCACTGCTTATTGAGTCGCTAGGACGGGAAAGTTGGTTTCACCTCCTTGGAGAAAAAAACCCTCTGTTTTTTCAGTCAATTTAGGATGTCTTCATGAGCCACTTGCTGACTAAGGGCTTCCATCCTTCAGGCAGACCCTCTGTTGCAACATGTACTTTGCCCTCTGCAAGGTCACCTAATGCCCTGTTGCTTGGACATCACAAACTAGTTTCTCCCCATATAGATCGAATGTTCTCCTTACAGTTGATGCTGAGAAGGCTAAGACTGAGCACAGAAACAAAATGAGCCTGTTCAGCATGACCCCATTTCTGCAGATATTATTTCTGGGTGCATCTCTGAAATCCTTTTCCTGTTGAACTGAGGGTCAGCAGTATTTCTGTACATGAATGTACAGTGTGTCCCTGTAGGAGTTTCAGGGCTTTGGGGGACGATTGTCAGTTCTGCAAGCTTTACAAGAGATGGCAGATGCTAATGCTTGTGTCCAGCTAGCAAAAAGAATAAAAGAGGGCAGTGGACAGTTGGAAGTCTACAGATTTGACTCAACTGCCTCTCAGTCCTCAGGTTCTAAAGTTACACCTCTCCTCAAGCAGGCCACGATTCAGCAAAGGGGAGATTAGTGCATGATCTGAGGCAGGGGTCTCCAGCCTTGGCAACTTTAAGACTTGTGGACTTCAACTCCCAGAATTTTGCTTTGCTGGCTGGGGAATTCTGGGAGTTGATGTCCACAAATCCTAAAGTTGCCAAGGTTGGAGACCCCTCATCGGAGGGAAGCAGGTCATGGATATCCCAGATTTCCAAGAAGTTCCAGATCAAAGGGCTACCTGGAAGAGGCTCCCTTGCAGACTGGGTGTGGGCAGCCCTTCAGCCAAGGCTAGTTTGATGGACATTGCAAACCCTAGTGAGATGGTGGGGCTGGGGAGCGAGAGTAATTGTTCCTCAGTGGGCATGGCCCATTTGAAAAGAAATGGGCCAGGTTGTTTGATCAAGTGGGGCCAGGTCCATTTCTGTAGATAAAGAGGGACACCCTTGCAGGGTGGACTCTGGCCAGGCCCTCACAGCACAAGAAAGCATGGAATCCCAGTCAAATCATCATACAAGAGAACTGTCTATCCCAGCAATTAATATTGTCATTAAAGAATAAGCCCAGGCTTTTCACTACGTTTCTTGCAAGGGAAGCCTCTAAATTGCATTTGAGGAGGGAGATGGTGGCCTGCAGGCCCCTCCTTGTCAAACGGGGCTCTGATGTTGCCCCCGAAACACAAAAGTAGCAGCAGAACTGAGCAGCAGAGAGATCTCAGCCCCCACAAGGAAGGCATGCTCCTCCTTTCTCTCTCAGGTACCTGCAAGGGGGGGGGGTCAATCTTACACACAAGAGCAGCGTTTCCCTGGGAAAACAGTGCCAATTCTGCTGACCATCTATTCAGGAAGCATCTCTGAGCCTCAAAAGCAGCCACGTCTCTCATCCTCAACAGTCCTGGCTAATTGTCCCCTTTAGAGCCAAGCTCATCTCCCTGATGACGACACCAGATGGGATCACCTGCCTCTTGACACCAGACCAGCGTCATAAGTGCCCTGGCATGCCAACAAGTAAGCTTTCCCCCATCCACCCCAGAAGGAAAAACAATCTTTCTTACTGATTTGGGTTTCTTTTTGGAAGAGCAGTTTTCATAAAAGGCCTTGGCATCCTCCAAACTTGCTTGTTTTGGCTGCCCTCTGCTTTCCGGGCATCCGGGTCCAGTGGGCTCCATGGCGTATTCCCTCTACCCGTCCAGGAGCAGGAGAAGATGCAGCCAGCTGGCCGGTTGCTTTCCTTCTGCCCAAGAGCCCAGTTCAGCTGCAAAAGGAGACAGACACCGCCTCTGCCGGCTACAAAGGGAGGGTGAATCCGGCAGGCAAACCTCTGCATCTGTGTGTGTGTCAGTGTCGCTCAGAGCACGCTCTTTATAAGGGATCCCATGAACCTCCTGGGCACTCTTGCTCCCAAAGCGACTGTCTGGGCAGCTGCCCAAGTCCTCCCACATTCCCGGCCTCCCTTTCCTCAGACCCACTAAATCTGTGGGCAGCTCCAATTAGGGTGGGGGCAGGACCCACAGAGTGTGTTGCCCAAGAAAGAGGGGGGGTCCTCTGTCTTGGCCAAAAAGAGTCTGGACTTGACTTGTGAGAGGGGACTTATCTGGGCAGAATGCCCACATTCATGGCAAAGACCACGTAAAATGGCATGCGGTGTGCTAAAAGGAGACCCTCTTAGATCCAGCAGGGGCTCCCAGGGAGCTGAAGGCCAGACCAACAGGGGCCAGGATTTGGACCGATTCCTGGAAGAGAAGGCTGTCTTGCATCACCTACTGATTTTAGGGGTCTTTTACTGTTCCTCTGCTGTCAGAAACAAATGCAAAGGGATTTTTAAAAGATTCACTTTTATAAATTATCCACATTCTTCTGCTGTGAGACTCTCTGCCCCCACCCCCCACCCCAATTATTCCAGAGAAGAGAGGCAGTCCCAGGCTTGCACCCCTACCCTACCCTCTTGTTGGATCTCCCTGGGAGGAGGTGCCCAGCCCTGCCATCCTTTGATTGACTTATTCCATTTCCCACTTGCCACAGATTAGCCAAGGCTCCTGGCCTCAAGGGCATTCCAGAGAAAGGATGCTCAGCTCCATGTGCTGGGAAATTTTGTGTGTGCGTGTGTGCGCGCGTGTGTGTGTGTGTGCGCTTTGGCTCACCAGCTCTGCTTGTTCCTTTTCCAAAAGCATGTGTTCAATCACGGATGATGGGGTTTTGGTCTACTTCAGTTAAAAGCCTGAACTTAAATGTGACCACAATTGCTTGATTAGCCTTTGAGAGAAATTAATTGCACATGCTGAAAAGAGGCCCTTGGTATTTGGCTGGAGAAGAGCAAAGCTTTAGTTACAGTAGTCCAAAATCCAGCTGCTTAGAAGGCTAAGGATTCTCCCGCTTCATTTTAGTCGGAGAGAAGCTCCCCTGAATGTCCATTCAACTCGCTTGCTGGGTGGCCACTGCCATGCTTTCCCCTGGGTCTTCCTCTCTTTCCCACACCCCTGGCCAGGGGGCCAGGATGCTGTAGCACTCGGTGCTTTCGGCTCACTTTTTCTGCATGTATAACCCACTTTATCCAAGCTGACTCTGACTGGCATCCACAAGCAGCAGCTACAGCTGGTGCAGCCCTGCACACAGCTTCCCCCTCTGGGGAGTTCTAGCTCAGCCTCCTCGCAAGGTGGTGCTTGTGCCGAAAACAAAGGCTGATCCTCATGGAAACTGCCTTGGAGAAAAAGTGGGTCAAAAGCCTGACAAGCCAATGTTTGTCAAGGAACGAGTGAATCTTACTGGGACGCTGAATTTCTCCGGCATGCCACATTGGCACTGGGCCTGGCCTGGCATCGTCTGGGGAGGGCACACTTTGCTCTCCTCTGGCAGCTTCAGCTGGAGCCTTGTGGGCAGCTCCGGGGCTTCCCTCCCAGGCATCCCCCACAAATGCCTGCAAGGCAGACTCAGCCGAGGGTCTCCCAGGCAGGAAAGACCAAGCTTCTCCTGAAGACAGGAGGAAAGGTGTCAGGGCAAGGATTCAAGGGAGAGCAGGACACCTCAAGCTGGTTTGGAGAGATCCTCGTGGCACTGTCCCTTCCCCTGATGTGTGGTACTGCCACCAATCCACAGCATGCACTTCTGGATTTTGTGGTTATAATAAAAAAAAAAATGAAAATTAGACTTTGGTTTTGCCAATTAAATTTGTTGTTAAAGAAATGGCTAGTTATATACAAATGGGTAAAAGTAAAAAATTGAAGTTGTAATGCCTTTTTCTTTCTTCCCTTGAACCTCATATTTTCTTTCCCCCTTCCTTAATTTCCTATTTTTATTTTTATTTGTATTTTATGCATTGATAAAACAATAACAGTTATATAAGGCAAGAGGTTTCTGCCCCCTTAACAGGAGAGATGCAGTGGGCAGGCTCTCCCCTTGCACACTCATTGGCAGACAGTGGAGGAGTATGGCTTATTTTCTAAATGATGTTTGCTTTCAATATTAGGTCCCAAATGGCTCTCTGCTGTTTGCAGCTGACACACAGCGGCCCTTTTTCACTTCGGAGTCTCACCGGAACTGCAGAGGTTCCACAAAGCCCCGAAGAGAGTTGGCTTTGGCCCAGGGATGATGCAGACTCAACCTTCAGCCTCTCTTCCACCACCCACCCATCTCAAACAGCCACCTCAGAGCTGTAGCCAGTCAAAAGCTCCACCAGAATTGATAGGCTGGTCCCTGGGGGCAATTTAGGAAAGAGAACACCCCTCTGCCCCCCCCAGTTACTGGTTTGTTGCCCATGACTGTCCCAATGAGCAGTGGACCCGTCAGCCACTGGGTGGGCAAAGCACCAGTTGTCTGAACCATTTTGAAAAAACTTGAAAATGTATTAACCTACACAAACCTAGCCAAAATATAGCATCACCTACTGTATATTACTTTAATAGCTTTTAAATACTTGTGAAAGAAACAGACTCCACAAATGACATGACTTTACTTCAACCTGATGAGGAGTATCATTTTTGTGAACCTCAAGAATTTAAGGTGTTGTCCTTGTCTCAAAATTTTGATCAAGAGGATGATAGTTCCCAGACTTCATTTAGTTTCTGAGTTAGCCCATTTCTTAGGTTTGTGTTATAGCACTTTGCTATACATAAACCCCGTGGTCCAGTGCGGATGCTGGCCTGGTAAATAAAGTTCTTGGGCAAACTGGCTGCCCTACGACTACCGTCCCTCTCATAGGAGTTGCAAGGACCAAAAAAAAAAAAGCAACAGGGTGTCAATCCATCCACCTTTGTCACTGTCCAACAGACGTCCCAGCAGCATAGAACAGTCCTTGAGTTAGGGCTTTCTGTTGCTAACCAAAACATTTGTTAAGTGAGTTTTTCTCTTTTACAATCTTTGTTGCCACAGTTGTTAAGTGAATCAGCGAAGTTGTTAAGTTAGTAACAGGGTTGTGAAGTGAATCTGGCTTCCCCATTGACTTTGCTTGTCAGAAGGTCGCACAAGGCGATCACATGACCTGGGACATTGCAACTGTTATAAATAAGTCAATTGCCAAGCGGCCATATGGTAGGTCCATCCGAGTTTCTATCATGTGACCATGGAGATGTTGCAACGGTTGTAAATGTGAAAAACGGTCGTAAGTCACTTTTTTCATTGCTGTTGCAGCTTTGAACAGTCACTAAACGAATGGTAAGTCGAGGACTACCTATAGATAAGAACATTGGAAAGATGCTAAGGCTGGAATAGGCCCTCGGTCCACCTTGTCAGCATCCAGCCAGCCTGTGAGACCAGCTGCCTGGGATGCAGGGGGAGAAGGCCCAGATCTTCTGGAAACCTGAACTGCCCTTTTTGAACCAAGGGTGCCTTTTTCAGGAGGCAACTGGACTCTTATGTTTCTTTTGAAGATGTTTCGCTTCTCATCCAAGAAGCTTCTTCAGCTCTGACTAGATGGTGGGGAGTGGAAGGATTTATATTGCTTGCAGACAGATGGTCATTTGCATTCCTTTAGCGAGTCCTTGGGGCCATTTTGGAGGTTTACCTGTGTAAATGTGTGTGGAGCCTTCTTGGCTGCAGGATGTTTTCTACCCTTGGGTCCCTTCACTGTTGAAAATAGGCACAAGCTCTTGGGGATGAATCTGTGATGTCTGCATCTCAAACTGAAGTGCAAATGGTTCCCATAGTTTGCAATGTTTTCTGGAAATCCGTTCATACTCTCACCATTCGAAGGCTGTTCATTCCAAAGTGCATAGCTAAAGTGCATGCCCTTTTTGAAAACCACATTGGCTGCCCTTATGACAACTGCTGGCTGCCAACATCAGAGGCCCAACAGACTGTGATTTTTAATATGGCAAAAAAGTATAAATATGCCAACTGCTTTTAATTAATATTCCTTAGTTTGAAGTAGATTAAACCTTGCTTTTGCTCGGGCTCCAAAACCTTGCTGGAGCTCAGCAAGCATGTGATGTGGCTCTCGGCCTGAAGGAACTGCGCCACTGGAGTGGGAGTGCCCGGGGTGCATCCGGGGCCAGGCCCTCCATGAAAACACAGGGCGCCTCCTCCCTCCTCCCTGGTTTCGGCCATTTCCAAGCATGTGGGTTGCTCCCAGATGCTGACAGCTTTCACCTGCAAACCCCTTTTCCTGTAGTTTCATCAGCTATTTTCTTACTGCAAACAATCTGGGAAAGTGGCAAAGGCAAGCAAGCCACACATGAGGTGAGACTGGAAACTCTCAAGAGTTCCCCTCCCCTCCCTGGTACACAGAGACAGACCAGGCTCACTGATCATTCTTTTATTCAGAGACCAAATTGCAAACTCCCATCAGATGAGGATTCCTTTGAACACTTAAATAAAAATAGATTTACATGTGCGCACACATACACACTCCCCAACCTACCTCACAGTTCCTAAACAAGTACAATACTCACAATCACAATAAGCAGATAGGACAATCTCCAAGAGCAATGTTTAGGGCAGGACGGGACACGGAAGGGCAGGACACAGCAGCCAAAGGGACTGCCTTGGCACAGACAGTGGCTGCCTTGCGGCGCATGAAACCTTCCTGGGACCCTAAACCAACCCCACCTCATTTCTTCTGCCCCAGTCAAAGAACTGCCAAGAAGAAACTAAAGACATCCACCATAAAAAGTGCAATTCACTAGAACTCTGCTTGGACAAAGTCTGTTTCATTCGACCTGACTTGTTTCCTTCCACACATGAACTCCAGGCCTTTGATTCACACGGCAAGCCACAGCTAACCCCCCACCCTGCAAAAGCTGCTGGGGAGCAAATGACCTACAGCTGCCAGTAACTGTGCTCTCTCTTGGGCCTTTTGCCAAGTCCTTCCACTGCTTTACGAGGGGGGGGCATTCCCCCCCCCAGAACGCCTGAAATTCTAATCACCCTTTTTCTTGGCACTTCTGTACTCTGTACTTTTTCCTTTAGCCATCCTAACCAGACACTTCATCGCAGGGAGGTTACCATCACCTTGGCCTTCTGGAGTAGCCAATTCACATTTTGCCCTAAATGTCATGGGGCATCAATCACAGTGCATGTCTGCTCAGTTGTAAACCTTAAATGCTAAGGGGGGGGGGAGAGAGAGAGAGAGAGAGAGAGAGAAGGAATGAAGAGTTGAAAGGCATCAGAGTTGCCAGAACCACTGGTGCTCCCTGCCACACCTCCTTTTCCTGTTCCCCTTAGGAGCACAGCTAGTTCCCAGGTTGCAAATTGGAAGGAACAAAAAGCAGCTTATTTACGTCTGTCACAGGTTACATTTGTCCCCAAACAGAGCATTCCTCCATGGAATTCCCAGTCTCTGGCAAGGCTCATTGAAACAGTCCCCTCTGGTGCCCTTTGCTTGCACCAACAGTTTATTTTTAATCCACTGGCCACCCAAGAATAATCTTTCTGGGGGCCCTCCAGACTGAGGCTCCTGCAATCTCCACCAATAGGGGTTTATCGGCACCATCCCTGGCTTTTGGGAAAAGCCAAGTGCCTCTTCCTCTCCCGTCTTTAGAGCCCGTTAATTATTACAATGAATTATTGGCAGAAGCAAAAATGAAAACAACCTGTACTTTTACATACAATAAGATTAGTACAGAAATATACTTTTTAGCAAGCGCTGTAACAGTGTCCCTCTGCTTCCAAAGATGGAGAGCAGGAATCTCAGCCAGCCCTCCCCAACCAAACCTTTTCAAAGGTGTGGGAATACAGCTCCCCCATCCCCAGTCAGGCCCTTTTGGCTGGCTGGAGGTGGGAATTTAATCAGAGATCCAGAGGGTGGATTTGTGCAGGGAACAATGGCCTGAAGCAGGGATTTCCAAACTTGGCAACTTTAAGACTAATGGACTTCAACTCCCAGAATTCCCCAGCCAGCCAAAGCCCCAGCCAACTCTTCAATTCTGAGAGTTGACGTCCACAAGTCTTAAAGTTGCCAAGTTTGGAGACCCCTGATCTAAAGGGGGGGGGGGAGGTACAGGTGTTTTTTTTTAAATTTCCAAAAAGAAACCACAGCCTCCCCCTGGCCAAAAACAGTTGCATCTGGTAGGGAGGAAGTGATGGGGGGAAGGAGAGAAAAGAAATATTTCCTCTTTTCAGGCTTGTGGGGGAAATCCTCAGGACACTGAGTGGAAAACACAGCCCTAGACCTGCCATCAAAAAGAGTTTCTGTAAAGATTTGTTGTGGGGGACACAATGGGGGGAGGGGATATAGTTTTTTTTTCTACCCTTAAGAGCAAAACCTAGTAATTTAAGACAATGGACCTTGCAGCTGTAGCCATCTGGATCTTGGATTCAGGCAGCCCATTAGAAGTTAAATTTGCTGCCAGGTCTTGGGAACACCTCATGTCCAAGAAGAAAAGCACAGGCCAGAGGCTCCAGCCAGAGTAGACCCAGTGGATAGAGGTGGACATCTCCTGGCTTAGAAGCTAAGGCCCCTGGCCAAAGGGTCAACGTCTGGGCTGGCTGTGCTGGTGCAAGTGCTGGGACAGGCCCTTGCAGACTCATCTGGGCAAAGGCAGCAGCCTCCCTCAAGAGGGGGCTTGCAGCCCTAAAGAGAAAAAGACAGCACACAGCCAGGCAGAGGACGGACTGACTAGTGCCCCAACCCTTCTACTTCTGCATGTCACACTGCAGCAGGAGGACAATTGAGGGGTCGCTCTTGGCTGCCTCCTTGAACTCTTCCAGGCTGATCTGGTCATCTTTATCCTTATCCATCTTGGTGAAGATCTTGTCGACCCGCTGCTGGGGTGTCAGCCCATCTTGATCCATCCGCATCATAATGACAGTACCCACCATCTTGTAGATAGCCTGAAAGACAGATGGGGAAAATGAGGGCATGGTTCTTCCAGTGCTGATCACTTAATACCTACTTTGCTGCCCCCTCCCCCACCTGCAATAAGCAACCATAGACCATGCATAGACTTCTGGATACCCGAAGGCAGGACCATCAGCATAGGACCAGCTTATGGGAGATATGGTACCATTGTATTTATCTGTTCTTCATTTCAGGAAAGGACAACTTTGGGGGGATTGTGAACCACAAGGATTTCCTGATTTTCCTGACTTTTGTAGTTTGGTCAAGCCTATTTTATGGGGTTCACAGGGAAAAAAATTATAAAGCTGTAGAAAATTGTGTCTCCTTTGAGTGATGATCTGCTGTGACTTCACAACATAATTTCAGTTTGGCCACCTTGCACTGGCCTAATTATGAATACCAAGCCTGAGGTGGAAATCCACCCAAGAGAACCTCTGTTACCTCAATGATCTCTAGCATCTCTAAGCGTGTGATCTTCCCGTCCCCATCCAAGTCATACATCTCGAAGGCCCAATTCAACTTTTGCTCAAAGCTGCCCCTGGAAGTGACGGACAGAGCGCAAATGAACTCCCGGAAGTCAATGGTCCCATCTCCGTTCTTGTCAAACGTGCGGAAAGCATGCTGGGCAAACTTGGATGCGTCACCATAGGGGAAAAACTGCAAGAGGAAAAATGGGAGAGGCGTCATCACCACAGGGGCTGCTGCCTCAGGTGAAACACCTGCAGGTGCTCCAGCAGCAGAAACAGCGGCAGCATCCCATCCCTTGAGAACTTCACCCAATCAATGCTGAACAGAAATGCTACTTCTACTTTGTTGCTTTTCCTAAGGTTCATTCCAGAAAGTCACAAATGACTTGAAAAGTGCATCCTATCCCTTGCAAAGCCAGTATGGTGACATGGCTAGTCTGTTGGATTAGAAGTGATGAAGCCCAGATTTATTTATCTATTTATTTATGATATCCTGAGTCTTGGGCTCACGTTCTCTCAAGAGCTTGCTAGGTAACCCTGAGCCAGTCACTCTCTCCTGCCTCACAGGACTGATGTTACAGGACATAATGGCCACCCTGAGCTCCAGATGGGCGGCTTCACTGATAAGCCAACATTATCCAAGTGAGCTTCATTGGACCTATAGCACTCAGAAAGTAGAACAGAATAGAACATTCTTTATTGGCCAAGTGTGATTGGACACACAAGGAATTTGTCTCAGGTGCATAAGCTCTCACAAGCAACAAAGGGACAAATCATAAATCATAAGATACAGCCAACAAACTTCTTAAAATGGGACAGCAGAGCTTCCAGCCTTTGTGGCTACTCCGGGAGCTTTGAGGTTCATACCTCAAGAGAGTGCCTGGTTGAAGCAAGCTGCCCTAACTCAGCTGCCCTCGCCCCTCCATGCCATACCTTGATATAGAGTTGCTGGAATTCCTCCAAGTTGAGGATGCCTGTGGGGCAGTCTTTCAGAAAGCCCTTGTACCATTGTTTCAGCTCCTGCTCATTAAATTCAGTGCTTCTCACCAGGTCATCCAGCATCTCTGGAGCCAACTTGCTGTTGTGCTTCCCCATGGTGACTTCTGGAAAGAGAAAGGTGCTAGCCGTGCCATTCTCCTGGCACAGTCTTCAGTTGCCTCTGGCTCCCTCCCTCTGTCATGTGCCCACTCTGGGTCATAAAGCTGCATGGGGTAGAATGTACCCCTTCATTTTCCCGAAGGACTGTTCCTCTGATGGTGCTGCATATTTCATAATAAAAGGGAGCCAAACGGTGATTCACTAACACCGGGAGAAAGACATGCCAGAAGGACTACCTATATGAAGCCAACAGTCTACATTATTCTAGAATTAAGCCAATGGAACTGCATTTTTTTTCAATTTTTCAATTTCTTTTTCAACTAAACATTTTTTTTGGGGGGGGGGAACAGTTTACTTAATTTAATTCTTTAGAAATTTTTAAATTCTTAATGATCTAAGAGGGAAAAAATAAAAAATCATAGAAAAAGAGTCAGACATTTAAAACAGGGAAGATAGTGATGAATTTTTCAACAAAGGGTCAAAAACTTTTGTAAACTATTGTAAACTGACACGTTGCAACAGGGAAAATATTAATTTTTAGAACATTTTAATTTTTAACAAACAAAAAAATCATGGAAATAAAGACTTTCCAAGCGTTTTGTTACCAAGCTAGTTAACATCTTCAGTGGCGTAAGATTATTAGGTTTGCCATCTGAACAATCACACAGAGAGAAAAGCAAAACTGATCTTCAGCATTTGGGCAGCAGTGACTTGCTGAAGTTGGCAATGCTGTTGTTCAACCTCAAAGAACTATTTGCTGCCCAGGTGAGAAGGAAGAGGAACTCCGATATAAAACAGGACACGATACCAAGGATGAATGTATTTGGTTAATAGAAAAGGAAAAAGGAAAGACGTTGTCATAGGTGTATACTACAGGCCATCTAATCAAGTAGAGGAAATAAATGAACATTTTGCTACTCATTTATACAATAACAGAGCTTGAAGATCTTTGAGTCCAGCCCCCCTGCACAAGCAGGAGACCCTATACCATTCCAGACAAGTGGCTGTCCAGTCTCTTCTTAAAAGCCTCCAGTGTTGGAGCACCCGCAACTTCTGAAGGCCAGGAGTTCCACTGGTTAATTGTTCTCTGTCAGGAAGTTTAATTCCAGGTTGCTTCTCTCCTTGATTGGTTTCCATCCATTGTTTCTTGTCTTGTCATCTGGTGCTTTCAAAAATAACTGACCCCCTCTTCTTTGTAGCCGCTGAAGTATT